GGGCAAACAGCGTAAAAGTCAACGCCTCCCAGGTCCCCGCCGGCGCCCCCAGCTCTGCTGCGAGTCAGTATCGACGCCCAGCTCCCGCCCCGGCCCCGCCCCGGCCCGGGCCCCGCCCCTCAGACCCGGGACCCGGGACCCGGGACCCCGATCCTGAAGCTGCTAGGCGTGGCCACGGTGGGCGGGCTCGGTCGTGGGGAAGGGTACGGGGCATTTTCTTGGCTAGGTGCTTTCGCCCCGGGAGCCAACCCTTGGCACCGCAGAGGCGTCAGGGGTGATGCTGCGCCAAAGGCGCCTGTGAACCCTGCACGTGAGTGAGGACAGGCCCTGTGCTCTAGGCGGCCTCGTCTGTCCCGAAGATCTCTGGCCTTCTCTGCACCGCCCCGGGCCGCAGGGCTGGTGTCCGAGGCTCCGTGGACCCTGAAAGGCACGCTCTGCGAGGCTGTGCCTGGCTGCGCAGTCACCTGAGGCAGGAGTCTATGGGTCTCTCGCAAGTGGAGGCCCACGCTAGAGGACGCACTGATTAGAATTTGAGAGGTCAAACTTTCTGAAAGCCTCCTTGGGCATAGGGCAGTGTCAGATGCGAGCACGACTCTGGATGCGCTCACTGCACATGTGCGTCCGAATTTCCACAGTGAACTGTACACCCACATGTGGGTGTGAATCCACTCTCCGGGGATGTGTACGGCGGGTAGCCCCTCTTTCCTCAGCCTACTTATGTTTTCCCACAGCTAGCAGCTCATCTGGACCCATTCAGGTTCTCTCCCTGACCGGTTCAAACAAGGAGGGTCCAGCCCTCAGCGACCCGGGAAGCTGGGCAAAGGCACCTCCCCTGTCCGAGCGTGGGCCCAGTGACCTCTGTCTACGACAGATATTCTGCCTCCCTCCAGAACACATTCACTTACTTGAGCACCCTAACCTCAGAGGGCGGGAGAGAGAAGGTTGGGGTCTGGGACCTGTGGGGACCTGATGTGAGTGGGAGCAGCCCAAGAAGACAGGCCGCAGACCTAGGGAAAGGAGCTCCCTATGCTTTGCTAGATGGGGTTCTAGAACGCTCCCTACTCCTCCTTAGGAAAGGTTTCCAGTCCTCTTGGCTCCTGCGAACGACCGAAGCGAGAGAATCTCCAAGTGGCCTGGCCTCAATAGCAATAAAAGATACCTGGGCCACCATCCTCCTCCAACCTAAGCGGATTTGTTTATTTTACTTTGACTTAAAATAATTTCTTGAAAACTTCAAGGGTGAAGCTCTGGGAGTGGGCCCCTCGCGACCCCCGCGGGTATGCCCAGCGAATGGATGGATCCTCGAGCCCCCTACCCCCACCAGGGTGCAGCTGTCGCGTGGATTTCCTCAGCTGTACCACCTCAGGGTGCTGCAAGTTAAGGCTCGGTCCTGCGCTCCTGGCGGATCTGTTACTCCCAATGTACTGTCTTAGCCGCACTCCACCCAAGACCATCTCTGTAGTTGACTTTTTTCTCCCAAACCCATTCCCAGGCTCCAGAGAGAATGGGATTTCCTGGGAGCCAGCGGCCTGTTTCAGTCCCTCTCGCAGACTATCCGAGTCGCAGCTCCCTCTTGCTTGCCCTGTTGAACTTTCTTCATCAGATTCTTCCACACTTCACCCCCACCCATCAAGTCTGGTCCTTCAAGTTGGCTGCTTCCAGGGGAGAAAGCATGGCACTCTGGGGCGCGGGGTTCTTGGCCGGCAGTGGAGCCCTGTCGGTCACACTTTTTTCCCTGGTCCTTGTTTTCGGGGTCATGGCCCTTCCTGCGCTCCAGGGTTGTGCACGCCTGGGCCAGACCCCTGTTGCCAGGGATGGTGAAGGAAGGCCAGAAAACCACACAAAGTTGAGGGTGGAGGGAGAACAACCAGGGAGCTCACTTTTCTCATTTAAATGATGTTTTTACTCTGAAGGAGAAAGAAAAGTGGAGAATAAAAGTGACAGTGACAGAATGTTAGCTCTAGAAAGGTAAAGGCATCATGGGGGGGAGGCACCGTGATAAAATCAGAGCTGGAGAGGCCAGGGCATTAACCGAACATGGCCATCATCAGGGAAACAAAATTCGAAACCTGTTACCTCCTTGGCTGTCCCTCCAGGCAGTGACGTCAACACAGGTAGCACAAGGCGAGGCCAAAGCTGCTCTTTGGCCTCGGAGACCTCGACTCCCGCCGGTCAGAAGAGATGGACGCGCGTCCAGGATCCAGGATGACTGGGGAGGCGCAGAGGTTGTGCTTTACTTTCGTTCGAAAAAGACAAAAACTTTTCGTTAATTTAAAACGACAAAAAGAATCCCATCGCTAGAGAAAAAACAAATCGAGACGAGGAGAATCCAGGCAAGGAGAGTACAAAAGGGGCTGGGAAGACGGCGGGGACAGGGAGGGCAAAGCGCAGAACGCACTGCGGCTGCTGGAACGGGCAGGAAGCGCGATCTCACTTCTCTCTGAACTGCTCTTTTAAAAACGAAAATCCTAACTACAACTTACCCTCCGTGACGCACCAAGAGATCTAGAATGAAGGCTCTGAGCTTTCAAGGCAAGGGTGTGTGTGCGCGGGGCGGTGGTGGGGAGAGCAAAACAGCCTCCACCTACCCCACACGCGCCGGACTTGGGACTCGCTGAAACAGAGCCAGAAGGAGGCAGGAAAAATCGTCTTGGCATTTATGCCAGGAGCACCCTTCCGTGCCTACCCTCACACCCCCATTCCAATCCCAGCCCGACTGCAGTAATTGAATTGTCACCTGCCCCCATCCCGCCCCAGGCCGCCGGGGCCACTAGGGAAGCTTCGATTTGCCAAGCGCCGGGGGCCAGTGAGAGCCGCACAGCCAAGCCGGCGCCCCCGAAGCCGAGGGGTTACACACGTCTGCGTAGAGAGACGCACCGGACACGGTAATTAGGAGCAATTCACACGCTCTCGGGCGCACGGAAACTTCTTGTCACGATATTTTCAACGCTCCTGCTCGCCCACTTTTTTTCCACTGCTTCGCCGTCGCGCCCCCTCCCCTCCCGGAGGCGCTCAGTGCAGCTTTTGGAGTTTCGAATCTTTCGGACACTGCAGGATGAGGGGCTCCCCGGGCGCGGGCCTGGCCAATCAGAGCGCCGTCTGCCTCCCCTGGCCAATGGCAGGCGCCACATTGTTGTCCAATTCTGTCTAATGGAGCCCTAAGGAGCAACAATAGAACGGGCGAGCGGCTCATTGAGAGTCTGGCAGCGCCGGGCACTGGGCCCCGGCTGAGCGCAGCGTCCGGCGCGCACCGCGAGGGGACGTGGCGCGGCAAGAGCTGGGTCGCGGGTTCCAAGCAGCCGGCCCCCAAACGGGCCCCAGCCCGGTTCCCGACGGAAGGGTTGGACCGCGCTGCGTTCCGAGGGGTCCGGAAGTTCGGACATGGTGACGGAAGGAGGGTGAAGTGGTCAGATAAGGGCCGGGGACGGGGGAAGAGGCCGAGTGCCAGCGTCAGGAGCAGAGCTGGGAGGCGCGGGCCGCGCCAGCCGAGGAGGACCCGGAACCCAAGGCAGGTAGTTGAGAGCTGCAGGGACAGCAGCGCGGGGGAGACCCGGCCCGCAGCCCCAGTAGAGCAAGGCCTTCTCGGCCCGAGGGGACTCGCGGACAGAGCAGTCTGAAGGGCCTGGGGAAAGAGGCACCTGCGCCAAGGGAGGAGGTCTGGGGTTCTCGGGCGGATGGAGCCGCGAGGATTCAGTCCTGGGTTCCGTCGGAGGGCGGGATGTGGAGGGGGAAGGTGGGCAGAGAAGGCCGTGGCGGGAGCCAGGAGATGGGCCCTGCTTGGGCCTCTGGGCTTGTGGCGCAGGTGGGACTCCTGTGTCTGTTCTCAGCCAGTTACGGAGGCCGCTGCCCTGCCTCTCTGCGGCCTGAGGAGCCATCCAAGTTCCAGAAACCCAGTTTAGAAACGAGAACTCGGGAACCTGCGCTCCAGCGGGGTCCCAGGGGCTGCCAAGACTTGGAGGAGGGCGTGTCTGGCGACGGCGTCTGTAAAGTGGGAGGAGTGGGAGGGGCAGCGTGAGGCTGTAGGAGAGAAGGATCCCCTTGGGGCAAAGCATAACTTTTCGCTGGACACTTCCTTCCCAACTACTCCAGAATACAAGGATAAAAACTGTACCACAGGCTTGGCCCCATACCTATCCTTACCTAGCTTTGCCTAAACGTTCTTCTCTCCTGCTCCGTGTCTCTCTTGGACATCCTGGGTCCCAGACGCCCATATCAGGTGTTTTTCGATGTTTTCCTTGCCTTTCAAACTAATCTTTGGGCTGGGTTTGCTTTCCAAAGAAAGTTTCTTCCACTGAATTTTCTCTTTACTCTGTCCTAAGTCTACTAAACTCAGTCCCACATGTTCTCTCTCCGTCTTCTGCCCCAGGAGCATTACCAGAACTTACATTTTTAGGGGATCCAGGGCCAGAGGCCTATATTTGCCCCAAGTTTTGTTTTCAATCCATTATTCTGCTTTTACAGAAAGCTATAATTTCTGTTCTTGATTTTTCTCTCAAACTTTTCTGGTCCCACCCACATCAAAGACAAAAACAAACAAACAAAAAACAAACTCTAAGGCAACCTCCTCAGCTCTATAGCCTAACATCACTCCCCTCATCTTCCACCAATCTGAACATTTTGCTCTGGTGTTTTCTGCTTTGTCTTTGACACCAGCATAACAGTTGGTCTAAATTTTTTTTGTGTAATCCGAGTCCCATCAAGCAAACATTTCTCTCTGTTTCACCCCAATTAACCTAAACTTTTGGGATATTTTCTTTTTCAAATTCTCCTTACATTCATCTGAACCAGTGACTTTCAAATTTTGTTTTTTTAATTTTTTTCAGAGGAACTTATTCAAACTAAATCTTACCCCAAGCATGTAAATCATATATAAGAGTAGTTGTGATGGGAGTGCGGTGGGGGATCGCGGATTTACCATGTATCCCCAAAACAGATGCATCTTCTCTCCACTGTTTGGCGACCTCTACCCAAACTTCTGGAGCCAAACTTTTTCTTGCTAAGCTTGGATTCCTCGATCTGAGTTTTAGTCTAGCACGCAGCGCTTTCCTCATTTAGATCTCTCTTTCCCACTTCCTCCCACATCAGGTCCTGTCATGGAGCTGCGCTCGGAGCTGCCCAGCGTGCCCGGCGCGGCGACGGCGGCAGCGACAGCGACAGGGCCGCCCGTGGCATCTGTGGCGTCGGTGGCGGCAGCCGCGGCTGCAGCCGCCTCGCTCCCGGTGAGCGTAGCGGGGGGCTTGCTGCGGGCGCCCCCGCTGCTGCTGCGGGCCGCAGAGAAATACCCGCGGACCCCGAAGTGCGCGCGCTGCCGCAACCACGGCGTGGTGTCGGCACTCAAGGGCCACAAGCGCTACTGTCGCTGGAAGGACTGCCTGTGCGCCAAGTGCACGCTCATCGCCGAGCGCCAGCGCGTCATGGCGGCGCAGGTGGCGCTGCGCAGGCAGCAGGCGCAGGAGGAGAACGAGGCGCGCGAGCTGCAGCTGCTCTACGGCACCGCCGAGGGCCTGGCGCTGGCCGCCGCCAACGGCATCATCCCCCCGCGGCCCGCCTACGAGGTGTTTGGCTCTGTGTGCGCCGCCGACGGCGGGGGCCCGGGAGCGGGGGCGCCGGCGGGACCCGGAGCTGGCGCAGCAAGCGCAGGGGGCACAGGTGAGAGCACGGTCAGGTGGGCAGGGGCCAGGTCCGGGCGCAGGGGCAGGCATTTGTCTCTACTGAAATGGAAAAAAAAAAAAACAAAAAACAAAAAAACAAAACCAAAACTCATGTCTTTAGGGCTGGGGAAATAGCTCAGTAGAATAAGCACTTGCCTGGCAAGCACAGGGTCCTGATTCAATCCCCAGTAC